GGGGGGGGGGGGGGGGGGGGGGGGGGGGGGGGAGGGGAAGCGATGGGAGAGTGAGAATTACAAAAAGAACACTGATATCAAATTTACATTCATCTTTTTTTTTTTTTTTTTCAAAGATTTTTGAAAATTATAGTGACGAAAAAATAGTTAATTGGCAAATTTAAGGGCTTAATTGTGTTGTTTCGACAATAAATTACTGCACTTTGCTTCATATGTTTGTATTTGTATTAAACTGTTAACCAGGGTTGTTTTATATTCGATTGAAAAAAAAAAAAAAAGGAACGTCTTCTCTTTTCTGTTTTTTTTTCTTTTTTCTTTCTTGACTTATATTTTTCTTAGTCGTATATCAATTCTTTGATTAATCAAATTTATCTGAAAACGTTTGGAGATTAAGAGTTATATGTATATACACTTTTTTAAAGGTATTATTTGTAATTATATATTTGTTGCAGTGATAGCGGTAGCGGCAACAATAACAGCAATAGCAGGAGAAGAAGAAGAAGAAGAAAAAAAGAACTATTTTTTGTGTTAAATTTTTTGAAATTTTAATTGATTGATAAAACAATTGAAAACGGATCGAAAACAGACGCCACTGATGAGCAATGGAACAACCGGTACAACAGATACTGCAAAAGTGGCACCATCGGTGGCGATAGCAATTTCCGAGATTGATATTGTCAAAATGATATTAGAGTATTTGGATTCCAGAGATCTACATATTGCGCAGGTATATTTAACGGTGGAAAAAATTTTTTACTGTTGCTCCGTTTTTTTTTTTCACACAATGCCATCTGTTTTCGTGTATAAAAACATTTGTCTTCAAAATGTTTAGTAAGTAAATGACGAATAAATTAAATTCTGCATTTAACATACCAAAAATACCTTCATTATTTCTGTCTTTACTAAATCTGAGCAGTTATTGTTGCCAAAAATTTACTCAGTGAAATTGCAGTTATCTAAAACGTTTTATAATATTTTTGGTAGCAATGAAATTTACAATGACGATAAAATTGACACAAAATTTGAGATTATTTAAGCTTTCTTTGGAGCGGGAAACCGGTATCATTAACGGTGGCTTTTCTGACGATGTACTTTTTCTACGACAACTGATATTGGATGGCCAATGGGATTCTGCATTAGACTTTGTGGAACCATTGAAAGAGCTTCCAGAATTTAATTTTCGTATTTTTCGTTACTATATCACTAAATACAAGTATTTTGAACTCTTATGCCTGAATCAAGAACCAGGTATAATGCACGATAACGACTTCACCGTTCAGGTGTGCTGTTATTTTGGGAAAATTTTACTTACAACTGTTCTTTACTAAAAAGGTGTCTTTTGTCTTAATGCTTTCTGTCTTTGCGATCAAATTTTTATTCTAAAGGCGAACTTTTAGTCATTTTTTCGATCTCTGTTCTTGTTTGGTGGAAATTTTTTTAACTTTTAACTAGTTGTATTCTTTTAAGGAGCTTGTAGAATCCCTTAAAGATTTGGAACAACTGGCACCAAGTCCAGAAGATTTTCGAAGCCTATGTGCGTTATTGACGTTACCGAAGCTGTCGGAACACGCTGATTTCAAAAACTGGAATCCCAGTAGCGCAAGGATTGAGTGTTTTAGAAAGGTAAACGACGTCATAATGGCATTTATAATTTCCAGTTGTACAAATACAATATTGTTGTATTAAAGTACTATTAAGTATGCACAGTTTTAATAGCAGATTGGTTTTGCCTTCAGATTGAGCCGATGGTAACGCAGTTACTACCGCCGATGAAAAGAAGCACAGATTCAGTGAAAATGCATTCAATGAATGATCGACTTTTGCAACTTTTGGTGAAAGGAGCCCTCTACGAGGGATGCGTAGATTTTTGTCAAGCTCAGGCAATCGGTGATATTCAAAGTAACATTAGAGATGAGTTCAAAGAAGTAAAAACTAAAAATGTCATTTTGCTAATATGCATTTTTTTTTCTTTTAGATGATTGTATGAGTGTAAATAACAAAGTTGATCGTCTCAATAATCAGTGTATTATTTGTTTAGCTAAAACTGCACGACCGTCTCAGATTCTGGCATGCCGTCCTCGTCTGTGTAACAACGATTTATCATTGGTAAATTGGTTAGAGGCAATGGACAAAAGCCAGTATGTGTTACCATTCAAACAAAAGTCGTTGGATCTCAAACTAGAAAAAATTCGGTAACTGATAAACAAACTATTTATAGTGTATCTTAACAAATATTTTAAATTAATTTATTTGTAAGTTTAGGAAACCAAAGCTAGAAGCACAGTGGACAGAGCATATACTAGCAACGCCGGTAAAACCTGGAGGAGTATTTCCGCATTCACTAGTTCCAACTGCAAAGCTTAAATGTGCTCAACAGATGTCCCAATCAATGATAATTCCAGCGATGGCTACATCATTTAGCGTTGGTTGGTACAGTTGTTGGTGTTGCCAGGATGTCTCTAAAGAAAATCAAGACTTTCTTGGCTAATCATTTGATTAGTTGTTTCAGCACTAAACCATGAGACAAGGAAGAAAATGCATCGCATGTCGCAGTCAACAGCTCCAATGTTAGGTTTTTCAATTGAAGGAACGAAGGAGCAAGGTGAAGCTATGATGGCTCAGAGTCAGATGATTGATGCTATGTTTGAAACCTCTCAATATACAAAGTCTACTCGGCCGACAAATCTGCACGTTTCGTTTGGTCCCACTCCTCTGCAAGAGAACAGTGAGGCCAATCAGTACATGTACGTTTGATGTCTTTGGAAGTTCAGCTTGAGTTCATATATTGTTTTTTAAAACCACTTTGTGTATTTCTTCCGATCAATGTTTCTTAAGGAATGTGCACTTAGCTTGAGAGCTTTGACAGTTGCGGCTAAATTTCTTTTTATTATCTATCATATTACGCCGTTAAAAAAAAGAATAATTTTTTCGTTAACAGTTTTTGGTGAGGATTCATTGTAGAGCACAATAAGCGCTTAACTGTTGCTATAAATATTAATACTATGGGAAGCAATTGTTGATTTTTTATTTAGGTATCAACCCCCGGCTGTGCAAAACACGGGCGCACATCGGGGTCTAATGTCTGTGTCGGCAGCGATGGACGTCACGAGCAGGCGACAACTTGAAGATATAGCTCGATCTGCACAGCGTCAAATGAAGCTTCCTACCGTTCCAGAATTGAGCACTCCAACTGAAGAAGCAAATCCACAAGCAGCCTTCTCGGGCTCCAATTCTCTGACAACATCAAAACTGTATCGGGAATTTTCCAACAGACGAGTACAAGACTGTAAGCGTGTTTTTCGCTGAATTTCCTCTTTCAGAATTGATACTTCAGTTTTTTACCCCACTTTTATCATTTTAACTGTTAGGAAAATTAAGCATAATCATTGCTGTGTCTGTCAAAAAAGGCGTTTAATTATTTTGAACTGACCTTCTGATAGTTCTTCTTCTGTGACAGAGAGTATGTCTTTGCTGGGGAAATTCAATGTTCATTAAAAGCAGGTGGAACTGGTAACACCAATTTACCTACCGCTTATCAAGTATCACTTATTTCTCAGATTTAGTATTTCTTACTTTTCACTTTTCTCTACTATGATCACTATTTGCCAGTATTTAGCGGGGTTTTTTCGTTCAAAAGAATCAACAGTGCGATAAGTAGAATACTAGGAATAATAGAGTTTTGAATTGTTATTTGGAAACATTGGCACTTTACAATACTAACTTTAGTGTCAATCAACGGTCTACTCTAATAACTGATTTTGAAAAAATAAAAAAAAATTGTTTCGAAAACCAGAAATCATACTTTGCTAGGAACAAAGTTGGTTTAGGCACTTATAAATGCTTAAGTTATAAGGCTGCAAAATTAGCGTATGTGTCATCGTTAAGATTAAAGAATTTCTTAAGTCGTGGTTGATGAAATTGAAAAAAATTTTTTTACTTTATCAGACATTATAGTGGTTGCTGAGAAAGTTTGCAGTGCCGGTAGTATTCAATGTTTATTGTTAGTTACTGACCGTGTATATCTAGAGGAGAGGAGACAGCTGAGGCTTTTTGGTTGAGTAATAAACATAAAGAACTATATACCTGTTTTTTGATCTAATTCTTTAATAGAATTCAAGAAAAACGTTTTGTTACGCCATTGGCTTCTGAAAAAAGAAAGAGTTGTATGCTTTACTGTTGTTCTAGTTGTTACTGGCTTGGGGAGGAAGGAGGTACAGCTGTGGAAGTCGTCTTTATTAATTATCAACAAAGTAACTTCTGTTACTTGTATCCAATTTTAACAATATATGAAGTTTCAATTTTGTTAAAAGACAGTAACTGCCTCATTTACGGCAACATTGATTCACACCACACTGAGTATATCCGTCTAGGCATTTGCAGTTCTCACCAGTTGGTCGTGCACCAGCTTTGCATGGTAGTATTTGTGGTCCTCTCAATCTGTCTAGTGGTTGACCAATACTTACTGTAGTTACTAAAGCCCTTTTTTTAGCTTCATTTATGGTATGTTCTACGCATGCATGTTGACATCCTGAGATACAGTCTTCGACTTTGTAGTTTTTACTACAGTAGCCAACACACTGAATTTGACAGTCCAAGATTGATGTATAATTTTCTGGTAAAACACTGATCAGTGTACGAAGATTAGAATTTTTTTTGCTTCTTTCATAACCTTTATCTTTTCGTGTTTCGACGACCCGATAGTTGATTGGTGTTGTAGTCGTTTTTGTCGTTTCGGTTGGCCAATTATAATCGAATTCTGAACCTTGTTTGTTCTTCAGTTTTGTTACGAGTTTTATTATATCTGCATTACATGCTAATGCGCAAGCCTTTTTGCATTCGTTGTTGCACGGCTCTTGCTCTTTATACTTCTGTTTTTCGCAGTATTCGGCACATGCAGTTGGACATGTGCTTCGACATCCGGGAAGTTCAAAAGCATTACTGTACTGATGCATATCATAACAACTTGCATAGCAACTTCTTTTACACAGATTATTTGATTCTGCCGAACTGCACAACAGGCCGCAATAATCATTGCAGCTGATGAGACCTGTATTTGTTGTCAGAGTTTGGTGTTCATTTGTGGCAGTATAGGCGGAAGAACTGGTGTCGTTTAATGGTCCAAGATAGTTTTGAACTAAAATAACAGGTGGCTGTATTGTTGCAGTGTTTGAAGGAAGCGTTGCAGTGCTGGACTTACAAAGTCCGTTACATATCTTTTTGCATTTTACATCACACTGTTTTGTTAGCAGATATTGTTGTAATTTTGCTAAGTAAGACGTTTGACAAGGATTCATGCAATTGTTACAACAACCGTCAATCTGAAAGGTTTCTGAAAGAGGTGGTGCCGCAGCAACACACGTATCGTGACAAGCGCTCTGACAGTTTGTTATGCATGAAGCTTTTGAGTTTGGGCCGTGATTTTTGCAGGACAATTTGCAGCTTTGTTCACATGCAGACTGACACTGACTCTGATTGCTAATTATCATTTGGATTACATCACGACTAGGTTCTCTTCGCATTGCTATACATGCTTTCTGGCATATCGAACCGCACTGCTCCAGACATTTCACTCCAGAATCCGAATTTAAACAGGCTTCAAAACATTTTTCGTGACAGTGGAATTTACAACGGTCCTAAAAAAATTTAATTTGGTTTTTTTTTTCAAAATAAATTTTAATATAAAAAGTTTAGGTCAAGTATAAAATACAGTTAATTGTCACGATTAGTTTTTTTATTTTAATGGGTGAGGGAGTTTTTTAGTAATCGAATAAATTGTTCAAATTTTAAAGTAATATAGAAAATGGCATGAATATAGAAATTTTAAAGTAATATAGAAAATGGCATGAAAATTTATAATGATAAAGAGTAATTTGAATTTAAGAATAAAACTGGATGCCTAAAAAAAAGTGTTTGTGAAAATAAATTGGCTTTTTCAAAATTCTTTTTTTTTTTACTGAATAGTTTTTTAGATCCTAGTGTAACTTTGGAAGCATGTTGCTAGTTTCGAAGTTAGCTACGCTCAAAAAGGTTTTACGAGTATACTTCTTGACTGTGCTGAAGAACTTTGTAAAGGATTTAGTTTTAACAATGATCTTAGGGAAAAATAGGTGAAGAAAATTGCATTTTTGATGCTGCTGTGCTTACATTTTGTGGATAAGGTCTTGATTTAGATACTTTCTTTGCTTTGAATTCTATTTTATTTTCGGAGGGTATTTTGATCGTATTTTTTTTTGGCTGTTATGAAATTACTCTATGGGTCTTTCTGCTTTTTTTACTATCGTAGCATAGTATTTAACATTATCAGTTTGTAATAGATTGGGAATGGCAATGTTTGGAAAGTTTAACAGCATAACTGTTAACGAATGGTTAAATATCAACAGTTTTAGATGTAGAATTTTTTTCAGTCAAATCCTTATCGAGTGGTATATTCTGATGACCACTTTGCCAAAGCACTTCTAGTGTTTTAATGAATGATATATACTCATATGAACAAAAACATGTACCTCAAAATTCTATTTGCTGCAAATATTGTAATCGTTGTGACGGTAGTACTAAAATTTTTTTTTAAATGTTTTGGTAAATAATTTTTCGAATCTTTTTTCCCCCTCCACCTATTTAAACTAAATGCTTACCCAAAGTTTACTTTCCATATCGGTACATCGACAATGTCGCAATATTTGTTGATTTTCATCGATGGTTTGCTGTTGAACACAACGGCATCGTCGACCATCTAGATCTGAGAATTCGCATCGACAGTCTACTAGTCCAGCTGTACAGCTACACATTGTTGGCATATTTTTTTGCTGTTCAATAGCCTTAATTGAATATTCAAAAAATACAGTGTGAAAATTGGTTAGCATTCTTTTTTTTTTTATTTTTGCACAAATATTTATGTGCACAATAAGTGTTAATAATTGTTTGACAAAATCATGAAGTAAATGGTTGAAAAAGAGGAACGCGCTTTTTTGGTGCTTATTATAAGCAAATATGTTGATGGTAAGTTAACCGATAAGAAATGTGTTTGAATTAAAAAAGAAAAAAGCTGTTTGTTTGAAATTATTTTTAATAGACTTTTACATTCAAATTGAATTGTTGGTAAAAGAGAAGGGAAAGGGCAATTTTTTTTCGCTACCAAACATCGCAGCTAATCATATTGCTTTTACCTTTGAAGTCCAGTTTAGGCCTTTCAAGTAGAAACACTATTGAAAAGAAAAGTTTTGTGTGGTTGTATCCAATTGAATTTGTTAATGCCGTAGAAAATTATTGCTATTCAGTCTTATTGTCCAGGTAAGATTGCTTGTGGAAAAAAAAATGGACGAGCGAAAAGAGGGGTAAGGGTAGCGAGTGAATAAGTATTTGCTGATGTTAATAACCAAAACGGTGGTAGTTGACTGGAACTGCTCAGAATCGACAATGTAAGGACTTGGTAGGCCTTTTATTTGCATAATAGGTCTAGTTCAATTTTGCTGGTGACTGGTGAATGGTAGGTAGTAAAGTGCTAAAAAAATTGTAACTAAGCAGTTAACAGTGAAGAAAAAAAATGCATCTTTTTACTTTTTTAGTTAATAGAAGTTTTTTTAAAAAGAAAAAAACTACTTTTTTTTTTCTACACCTTTGATATTTGATTGTTGCACTGTAAAAGCAAAAAAAATTTTTTTGAATAAAAAAACGACTTAGACTGCTCCAGTGTTATTTAAAAATTAATAATAATGTGGTTTTTCACCTTCTTTTTTCTGAGGAGAGTAAAAAATTTTTTTGATTTAAAAGGTCTAGGCAGGACTTTATGCCTTTTTTTTCTAGACGGAATTTGAAGACAACAAGTGAAAGGGTTATAATATTCTCAGTATTGTTTCTTACTGTCTAATAATCTTATTTTAAAATACTTGTTTGGTTTTAGCATCAAGTTGAATTAAATTTGGTATAGGGTACAGTTATTTACTGTAAGTTGTAATAAATTTTTTCATTTTTTGTTTTACAACAGAAATTAATTGACCTCAGTGACCGTCAAAAATTGACTGTCTGTAATAGACGATGAATTTTTTGGAAGTATTAATTTGAGACACCTATTTGCCAACAAATGCGACAAACATTAGGCATTCAAAACACCGTTATTTAAGACTACCTTTGCCTTTCTAGACTAATACTACTTACAGGATAGTGTTAAAGGCTTATTGAAACCTTGAGTATTGTAATTTGGTAGTACAGAGGGAGAAGTGGAAAATAATATTGGCAAAGGCGGTTGTGAATGTTTAATTAAAATCTAACAGGAGACTATGGTTTTAAATAAAAGCATAAGATTTGAGCAATCAGTCATTAATTTGCCATTCTGTTATTGGGCAATTGTGCAAACTTATTTCGTTGTATAATATGATAGAGACAGTTAATGCACTATTATCAACACTAACATTTGGTGATGGTAAATTGAATGACATTAAAAACTTGCTCAGAACCTGTTGTGCCTTTGATATCCTAACCAACAGAGTTAGCAGGCAGATGGTGAACATCGCATTAAGTATCTGTATCACTGTCATTACTGGACCTCGGGTATCTTTGGTTGTTGATGGGGGAGATCAATTGCCTTTGTTGCCCAGTATTTTCACCTCACCAAGCTGACTTTAGCACATCTATTGCAAGATTAATGTTATTACAACAACAAATGATGGTTCAGTAAAACTGGTTGACAAAAATTTAATTACTAAAACTGTAGTTAAATTGTACTATAAAATTTTTGAACTGTATTACGAATAAAAAAGATAGACTGTGTGAAACAAAGAAATCAATTTTGGTTATGGTATTCATAATAAACAATGATTTTGAAAGAAGAGTTTACTTACTTGAAGTCTTATCACTGTGCTTTTAGGCTAAGCTGGAGGTAAGAAGGATTGTTGAGATGATGCAGATGAGGAGTTACCTGGGTAAGGGAGCAACAGTTGCTTTCTTGCCGAGGTAAAAAGATGAAATAACAGAAGCCAAATTGCTTGAAACAGTCAATGTTGATCGTTTTTATGCTATTGACAAAAAAATGTTCGTTTTCTCATTTTCAGTGT